AAATGGTAGTATTTTATATTTTAAAGATTAATAAATAGTAAGATATATGAATTTAAAATTCAATTCTTTTTATAATAATTTATTATTTATTTATCTTTAAAAAATCACTAGTTAATTACTATTATTTTTTAATTTTTACTTAGAAAACATTATAAAATTTATTATAAAAGTATTAATTTTTTTTTTTTAATAATATAATTAAAAAGAATTGTAATTAATAAATAAAATTGCTTACAAATTTGTAAGTAAAATAATTAAAAGGATAATATACTTAATCTTTCTATATTTGAAATATTCATTAAAATTTATAGATAATATTATTCCTTTACTAATTTAGCTGTATATTTAATTTTTAATCTATTTAATATTTAAAAATTTATCAATAAAAAATAAATCTAAAATTAACTTGATTAATAATTATGCTATTTAATATTTTTTTTTAATGCATAAATTACGCAAATATTATAAGTCATTTCTTTTTTAAGTAAACTAATATTTTTATATTTCTTTGATTACTTTGCATATATTTTATTCAATATTTAAATTATATAACTCAATAAAATTTCTTAAATTTATACTAAATAAAGCAATTTGATTAGAAATATATTATACGAATATTGTTTGATTATCTAATTTTAGTAATTTTAATCTATTGTGCTAATTTTAAATAAATTTTATTCTATAAATTTTTATGCAATGATTAATAATAATTTTGAACTAATAATTTTTTGTTTATTTTCTACAAAAAAAGCATTCTTATGATCTTAAGAAATATTTACAATTGTATTTTTTTTTATAAATATCTTATAAAAATCTTATCTATTTTTTCACTAATTTTCAATTCTTTTTTTAAATTATTAAAAGAATTTAAACTTTAATATTTCTAATATAACATGTGTTAATAAAAAGAGATATTTTTTTAATAAATGTAAATAATTATATATTAAAGAGAGTAAGAATGAAAGAATTTTTTAAGGTAAGATAGGTATACCTATAAATAGTTTTAGATTAAAAGATAATAGAGAAAATAAATATATGTTCTCATTAGCTTAGCTAGTATAAATAAATATATACAACTTATTCATGTTACATAGGTGAACTATAAATAGTATATTTGATTTTTTTTAGTTAATTACAACAATAAATAACACTTTACTTTTTATTCTTCATCAAACTAAAGGTTTTTATCAAAAAAAAATTCAAAAAGAAATTTAAATTTAAGTAGATCTACAACTGAAATTTTAATCTTAAAAAATTATATTAATTTCTTTGAATCAAACTATCAAATTTTTCTTGAATATGAATGAATGTTTATAAAAGATTTGCTTTAGGAAAAATCAAGAATCATAAACTTTAGGAAGTTTATAAACTTAATAGATTTTCAGTTCATTTGTTGATAAATAAATAGTGATTTAGAGCTTAAAATAACTTTGAAAATATTATATTATCTTACTTCTTGTGAAAAATAGCTGAACTAACTTGTATTTCTCAAATTATTTAATAAAATCTGTATTTTAATACATTTTTACCTTTTTTAATATCATTTTAAGAGTTTTCAATCACATTGTTAATATTTTTGCTTTTACTCTTATTATTTTTTTTATATTATATTCTTTTTTCTCAATATTTAATTATGTTATTTTAGGTTTATTATATTATTTTCTTTAATAATATTGTAATAAAAGCTGATACTTATAGTACTATTGTTTAAAATGACTGGTAAAAGAAGTTCAGATAATAATCAATTTTAGAAATGAATTCTTAACCTTATATTAAAATAAATAAAATATTGCCAATAAACTAAAATATAAAATAATATTATTAATAATAATGATGAAAAATATGAAGAAGAAGCAGATTTATAAGAACAAATTTATTTCTCCAATTAATATATAATTAATGAAGATGCTATACAAATTGAAAAAGAGCTGTTAATAAATAGAAATTTATCTGTTAAAGCATTTACTATCAATATGAAGAAATAGAGAAGGGAAAATTTCATATTAGGATTTAAGCAAAATATAAAAGACTGACTTTAATGACTTTATACAAAGTTATAAGGATTTTTTTGCTTGAGATTAGAAAGAATATCTGTCAATGCATACAATAGATACAGGAACTGCTGCATCATTTAAAGGATTTTATCAAAACCAAAAATTTACTCAAAATGAAAACAATAATTATTGGAGAGTAGACCTAGTTGTAGGTTGGCAGGAAGCCAGGCTGTCCTAATAATTATTTATTTTACAAATATGAGCTGGAAATCTTTAAGCAGCCAACATACCACGCTTGCCCTTCTTATAATTGCATATATACACCTTAAAAACCTTCCTTTATCCCTTCGTGGTATTTTCGCTTTCCCGTTTTAACATTATAATTTATTTTTGTAATTTCGTTTATTTTTAATTCCCGATTTCTTATTATTTTATAACTCAATTTTTATTATTAGCGTAATTTTAATTGGCAATTATTTAGTTTAATATATTGACATTGCAAAAATGTTAGGCAACACTGATTAATTGGTATTATTAAACAAATTTAGCGTCAATCAAGATTCATTTTTATTCAATAAAACCTTTTACATTTAAATTGTTTATAAATACATAAACGAAAGAACTGAATACAACAATAGCTTACCAACTTTACTCAACTCCTTAACGGAACTTAATTGCTCTTATACTTCAATAACTATTCTACCCATTTTACCCATCTTCTTAACGGAACTTTGATGATCTAACTCTAAGTAGTTTACCAAATTTATCGATTTTTTAATGAGTATCAGACCCGAACCTTTAAATAATTCAACGCTTCAATAATTATCCTATACTATTGCCTAAATGTTTATCCTTTTACATAACCGTTAGGTTTCTTTTAAGGAGTAAAGCTTTCACATAATTTAAAACACTAATTGTTATATTGGATTATTTTATCCTAACTATCGGCATAATTACATTTATTAAACTTCGTTATTTTCTTAAATTACTATTGTCATAAAGCGTTAAAATGTAAGAAAACCTTTTTTTTGTTTTGTTTTGTTAATTAGCATTTTATTAAATACTAATGATTTCTCTACTTGATAACAAATTTTCGTTTCCTTATTATATCTCTTAAAAAATATCTAAATATTAACTTTATAGAGTTGGTCTAATAGTCTTTAAAATATATTTAATTATTATAATTTTGCGTATACGGATTATCATTAGGTAGAAGTGCCAAAACTCAATGGTAATCCCTTGGTCACGATTAACTTATTCCTACTAGATTTTAATAAGGTATTACATCATTATTTAATGTTATAATATTCTAGTTGTGCTACAACACCGAAGTATCATTAAGGAGTTGGTAAAGTTGGTAGGATAACTATTTGAGTATTAGAGCAATCAAGTTCCGTTAAGGAGTTGGGTAAAGTTGGTAAGCTATTTATTCTGACATAATTGCAAAAGGTTTTAGTTAATTTGCGGCGTAATCATCCTAAGGCGTTTATTAAGTCGTCCTTGTTTATCTTCGTAATCCCTTAAACTTTCAATAGTATTATCATAAAAATATCTGATACTTCAATATTTGATTCTAATTCTCCTACATCCATCTGATCAAAATTTTGGGTTAATTCTCCATGTGATGTATTATTTAATACCAGAAGAATAAAGTTGTAATTCTGATGATTGAAGATTTGATTCGTTTGATCATTCTCTAATCATATTTGATTTTGTAATAATTAAATTTAATCTATCAACTACTTGATTCATTGACGACGTTTATCTGGCTCATTATCCCAACATTCTAAAAACGGATAAAATAAATCTACTTAGAAAGATATTTAGTTATAAATTTAATTAAATAAAAAATAATGTATTTACCGGTATAAATGATTACATAATCTTCAGATGTACCAAGATCTAAGTCCTTGTGAAATTGCTATAGTTAAATCAATGTCATATTCTTCACCTTAAACATAAAAAGGAGAACGACCACGTGATATCTCCCATAAGAGTACGCCAAAACTGTATACATCACTCTTTCCATTTTTAGGTTTATTGTAACGATGTATTGTCATTTTTTCGTCTATTAACCTTTTGGATCAACATAAGAAATTACATCAAAAACTTTCGACTGATTTGTTGACTCGATTCTTTTCGAAAATCTAAAATCAGCTAATGCCTTGACGAATTAATATATTTCCGGAATGCTAATATATAAAAATTAATCATTAATTATTATTGTTAACAGCAATAATAAATAAACAAAAAAGACATCTATTAAGCAAGATTACCGAATCACGATGCACAATTCTTACTTCATGTAAACACGACATAGCACAAGCAAACTGGAATGCAAAGTTGTATTTATCTTCCCATGTTATCAAAATTATTCTTCAAATATTTTCAAAGTGAATCACATCAACATATCCATTATTAACCAAACCAATATTTTTCAATCTTTTTTTTTGTTTTAAAAAAAAATTAAAATTAAAATTAAAATAAATAAATATATACATGATTTAAAACAAATATTAAAATTCGATATTTAAACTTTATTATAAAGATTTACCTTGATTAAAAGTTATTCCACAAAAGCTGATAATTATAAATTTAATTTGATACATTAATGATTACAATAAACAGACGAAATGTATATCACATTTTTGTTTACCTCACGAACAAGTTCTTTCACAGTGTCGTCATCGTTAAAATTATGAAAAGATTTTAACGCGAGATGTTGCTTTGAGCTTTTCCAATTTGACACGATAAATTTTCCCAAAATCGCATTACCAATTTCTTGAAAATGTTTGTATTCGTAGTATTTGATACTTCTTGAGATAGATTTTTCAATCCAATTAACCCACTCATTCGAATTGTTGGAAGCTTACATTTTGGTTTATTAAATTTTGTATATAACGAAATGAAACAAAATTCTTGGAAGAAAAGCAAAAAAAAAAAAATGCGCGCGGTAAATCATGTAACGTTAATCAAATTTCTAAGCCACCGGTAATTTTAACGGTGATGAGCACCGGTTCACGTGATACGATACAATTATGTAATTATTACATCATCAATTTAATAATTTAATATTGATTGAGATGTTTTATTTACATTTAACGAAATAAAAAATTAAATCCGCATCAGAGAGTTTACATCATAATAGAAATACTAGTGCAATTAATCCACTCGATCCAAATTTACATGTAAACACGCAACAGTCTCATTCATCTACTTCAAGAAATCCTTTATACACTCTTAATTCTAATGAAGTATAATTGGCTCCCTTCGGTCAAATTTTTTTCCTTTTTATAATAAATTTCAGATCTGTTGCAACGCAAGAGCAAAAATTTTTAAATGCTAAGCTTTTCTTTATTATGTTTATTTTGTCTTAATTTAAATTTTTTTAACCGATAATATCATATGAGGCGCAGTAGTGGTGCGGTGAGGTTATGGTTAGAAAAATTCTTTTTTTGCATTCATCACTACTATATTTCTGGATTTACAAAATATATAGTGTTTGATTGATTTCATCGATTAATTATTATTTATTTTGTTTTTTAATCATCTTTTCACTCGTAAGAATAAAACTTATTATTAACATGAATCTATACATACATTCACCATATTCGAATTTCTCAAAAAGAAACCCAAAATATATTGTCGTATGGTTATGGTTATTTATAAAGTTAGAAAAAAAAAAATTTGGCATTTTAAGGAATTTTTTCCTAATTATTAAAGAGCGACAATCACTAGTATTGCTTTGTAGAATTTATATTTTAATTATCTGAAGAAAATTCTCGATAAATATAATCAAAAAATTTGATTTGTACTCATCCGATCATCAGAGTTACATAAAAAAAAATTTTTTTTCTTATCATTCTCTATACATAAATTATTTTTTTTCAAAAAATTAAATCAATATGCAAGCTGATAATAATTTAAAAAAGTGGATGGATTAATTGGATTGAAGAATATATTTCAAGTAATAGAATCAGATGCTACGAATATAAACATTTTTAGCAATATCCAAAAGATCGGCACAGGCAATTTTGGAAAAGTCTATTGTGCAAATTGGAAAAATACAAAACAACAACTTGCTCTAAAATCGTTTCATAATTTTAACGAGGTAACTATTAAAGAACTTGTTCGTGAGGTAAATTACAAAATATAATATATTATGAGATTCGGACTGCTTAGTATAAAATCTTTAAGCTAAAATTTATATTCGTAATAATTTAGCTCGAACTTCAGCGTGAAGTTGATTTTTATGATAATATTATCCGTTTTTATGGGATAACTTCAAAACAAGGTATAAAATGTTATATAAAGTCTATTAAAGATATATAAAGGCATTATTGTTTTTATTTTATTTTTAACTCTCGTTTATATTTTAAAATATTAAAAAAAAAAAAAAAAAAATTAGAAAATCAAAATGATAAACCGAAAAAATATATGTTAGTAATGGAATATGCTGATGGCGGTACACTTAAAAACTATTTAAAGTATAATTTTGATAAGCTGACATGGGAAGATAAATACAAATTTGCATGCCAGTTGGCTCATGCTGTGTCGTGTTTACATGAAGAAGGAATAGTGCATCGTGATCTGGTAAACCTGCTTAATATCTCTTATTTTTGTTTATTATTGCTGTTAATAAGTAATGATTAATGATTAATTTTATATATAATAGCATTCTGGCAATATATTAATTCTTCAAGGCATTCTTAAACTTGCTGATTTTGGATTGTCGAAAAGAATTGAAGCGGCAAGTAATCAACAGTCAAAAATCTTTGGTATTCTTCCTTATATTGATCCAAAAAGATTCGGTTCTCGAGAAATAAGTGACAATACATCGCAACATTATAAGTTAACCGAGAAGAGTGACGTTTACAGTATTGGCGTGCTCTTATGGGAAATATCTAGTGGTCATCCTCCTTTTGAAGGCGAGCAATATGACTTTGGTTTAGTTATGGATATTACACAAGGACGCAGAGAAAGTATCATTCCTGATACACCTTAAGACTATGTAAACATTTATACTGGTAAATATATTATATATATATTGAAATTTAAATATAATGTTTTAGATAATTAAATATTTTATGATATTAGAATGCTGGGACAGCGAGCCAGACAACCGTCCGGTTATTAACAACGTAGTTGGTAAATTAAATGCTATCATTACAAAAACAAATAAAATAGAAAATGATCAAATTAATAATGAAGAATCAGACCTTCAATTGTCAGAACAACAAATACAATCTAGCATGAATAATTCATTACATGGGGATTGATTCAAAACTTTAATCAGATGAGTGTAGAAATAGGGTCGAATAATGAAACATCCGTCATCATTTACGATGATACTGTTAAAAGTTTGACGATTACAGATCTTAACAAGGATATATTAAACGACTTAGGAGGATTGCAAAGATATCGGAAATTAAAATTACTCAATTGTAGTAATACTCAAATAAATAGCTTACCAACTTTACCTAACTTCTTAACAAAACTCTATTGTTATGAAACTCCAATAACCTACCTACCAACTTTACCAACCTCCTTTACTGCGAAAATACTTAGATAACTAGATTACCAAATTTACCTGATTCCTTAACAATTCTCGAACCTGAATTTTTAAAAACTCAATACTCCAATAGCTAACCTATGACATTTACTGTAAAAGCTTTTAATAAAAAAAAATTAAGTAAATTACCGGATATATAGATTATTATTAACCAGAAATTTTCGCCATGTATTAGAAGTTGTAAACATTGAATGATCTTTTTGAAAGAAGTTTATTTGACGATATACTAAGATGATGAAAAATTAATTGTTACCATTGAAATTTATATTCAAAATCTAATAAATCTAATGAAGCTGAAACCATTCAACAAAGCCTTGCAACACGTGTTGATTCAGTATTAAAGCATATTTTATTATGTTGATAAAAGAATAATAATTTTGAAATTGCGGAAGAAGTTTTTTTAATTTTGCCATTTAAGAAAAATTTTCGTCTTTTGAGTAGAAGAAGCAGTGTTATTTTTATCCAACAATTATTTTTTTTATAAAATAAATTAATAAAAAATTCAATTATAACCGCTTTTATTATTAAGTAGAAATAAAGTTCAAAAAATTAATTTATCAGCTTCTGCTTACATCTTTAATTTATTTTCTTTAAAAAATAAATAAATACATAAATAAATAAATGTATAAATATAAGTTATTGTGCTCACCCATATGATGTAGACGATCTTGTTTTTAATATTTACATTATTTTATTATATAATAAAGTTTAAAATAGTAATTATGAATATTGTGCCAACTGTAAAAGTTTTCAAGAAATCAAATCGCTACTTTAGTTTAGATTTTAAATTTTTAGTCGTCGAATAATAATATTTTAGAAGTCAGACATCAACAGTTTTTGCGTCAGGAGCATGGTAGAGATTTTAGGTAGTTTTCACTTATATGTCTAAAATAGAATCTAGTTAATTTTCTCTTTTGTAGCCTTTTCCCCTTTTTTTCCTTAAGCTTAAGATAAAAAAATTTTATAATTTTACCCTGGGCTTGTCATTATTTTTCTAAGGAGACCAATTAATAAATATCCAAATAAACTTTTCTAGCGAGTAGTTAGTTAATTTATTATTTTTATTTTCGCGATATTCAATTATGCGAAATAGAATTAATTAAAATTATATCAGCTGTTAAATTTGAATATCATTTAGTATATATAGTTTTGTTGACAAAAAGATATCTTTTTTATTTGTACTTTCATCCATATTTTTCAAAAAAAAAAATTAATGATAAATAATTAAAAAAAAAAAAATCAAAAATAATTGTAGATGCATTACCATTAAAAATTTGCCATTTCTTGAAATATAGTTTTTTTTTAGCATAGAATTGATTTTTTATTGAGTAAAGCATTCGTATATATTAATAAGTTTGTTAAGATTTTCTTCCAGTAGATTTTCAAAATTATAATTCGCCTAAAAATAAAATTTTGTGATTCTTAAAATCATTTTTTTAAAAGAATTTAGTATAAATGACGAGAAAGAGAATGATACTGAACTTCTCTTCACAATTTTAAGTCAACATTATAAATCACACACGATAATATCGTTATTGTGCTTTCGTTGATAAATAACTATTAATTATTGGTTAGGGTGGATAAAATATCGTGTCATCCCCGATATTTTACCCCCAACCAATAACTATTATTTATTACACAATGATTAACAAATTTATTCATTTATTTTCTTTCATATTCCATTCATAACTTTGCATAAATTTTTTAAAAAATTATTTATATTTATTTAGAAAAAGCTAAAAATAACTCCACGTTATTATATATAAATCGACAATTTAATTAATCAACCGATTCAGACCTCTAGTTTCAATTAAATTTCTTTTTATTTTAAAAAATTGTATTGAACTTTTGTAAATTTGACTCAAAATTCCAAAAATGCAGCGATCCCATAAAGAGAATAAGCCATATTTGGACATTACTAAGACACTATGGAAAATCATTTATTATTACATGTTCAAAATAATTAAAAGGATTATTGAATTGGAATAAGAAATTACTTTCATTATAAAAAGGCTATAATGTCAATTTACGCTGAATTCAACGTAATTAATTGCATTCATAAAGAAAAAACTTACTATTAATTAATTACCTTTGCAAAGAAATAACAATCATGCATCCAAGTTTTATTTTTGCATTCATTTTATTGGCTACGCTTTCAATGGTCAATGCAATTCCTACAATCTTTGGTTCATGTGACATAGAGAACGTAATCCAAATTTCCGTAAATCTTAATCCTGATCCTGTCGTCCCAGGACAAACCGATATTTTTGAAGTTAGCGGAACTTTAGACTCGGATTTCACAGATACAGCTTACATATTTGTTGATTATTTTGGAAAAAACTTAGACGATCCTATTTTATTCCAGCTTTGTAAAGGGTGTCAATATAAAGCTAAAACTCCATTTAAAATATCCTTGAAAGTCTATACACCATCCGTCTTATCTGATTCTTATGGAATCATGGTTTATATTCAATCAGAAAATTTAGATTTTCTAGGCTGTGCAATGGCCCTAGTTGGCGATGAGTCACCACCTAAAGATGCATCTGCGCTTCCTATTCCTCGATAACTTTACTTTATTTTAATTTTTTTTTTTATATTTTATCATTTTTATTAGAATTGAAATAAATAGAACAATTTAATTTGCTATTGATGCCTTATTAAATTCATTTGACAAAACACTTAGTTGTCCTGAATAAGAAGCTTTTAATATTTTTATTCTAAGCAAGACGCTTTTAATACATAATACGTAATAATAAAGTTGCAAGTTAATCGTTAGCGTTCAAAAATAATACTATGCATAAAATATAGTAAGTGTCGTTGACCCCGTTGGATATGGTTTGGAAAGACGTAGTATGGAATTGTTTTCATCTCGTGATAATTTTTCTTTGACCGATCGGTAATTTGTCGGGTATGTTATTTTTGTGTTACACTAACAACTAACCTATCGTTTAGCACTGCATATAATATCACCCTTTGACCGTACCTCACTTTAAAAGATCCGTGTATGTTACTTACTAGGCATAATAAATTTTCCTATTTAAGCCTCCGGGTATTATTAACCTGTTCTAAATGCTCATCACGTAACTAACTCTGAAAAGTGGTTTAAAAAAAATTCAATCACTAATTTGCTAATTTTTGAAATAAAAAACTAATTATAATTACAATTACCTTCTAGTAGCTATCGGATTTTCAATACTTGGATTATTCGGAGGTAAGTCCTATGAAAAAAATTGTGTTGATGATTTTTTTAAAAGAAATCTACCGTTACTTACATTCATTGGATTGTTCGGAGGTGTCCTTGTCCTAATAAAAAAAAAGAGTTTTAATTTTGAGTATTACAAACTGAATATTATTTTCAGGTTTTGTAAGACCGGGTATTATATGCAGTGTTGGAACTTTTTCACATTGTTCATTGAATACGGATCTATTTATAAATTGTATTAAAGATTAAATATATAGAAGCTGAAAAAAATATAAATCTAGAGGTTGTAAAAATAATACTAACCAAAAAATGCATTTATGAAAAATTGTTAAAGTGTAGCGCGTTTATTTTATTTTAAAAAATTAAGTTTATTGATGCATATATTTTAAGTCAGGTAGTATAAACGGATCAAATTATAACTTTTGTTGTATGTTTCTGCTTGTTGCAGCACGTCTAATTTTAACATACACCTTTCAAACGTATTATGCGACTTGAAAATGTGATTAGGATATTTATTATTATAGTTTGACGAGGAATTCCTTTTAAAGAAATGTTTGTCGGCTAAGCTAGTCGAAAGAAAATTATACCAGACGACTTTAGGTATATAATAATATTCATTTAAATCCATTTGAAAGCAAGACAGTTTAACATGCTTTTATTTTATTTATTTTTATTTTTATTTTTTCTTTTTTTAAATCACTCTTTGTCTATGAATTTCGAAAATAACTTTTTTCCAGTTGGTATTTCTTTTCCGCAAATAATTTTTAAGAAGTTTCTATGCCACAAGTACAATTATCTGCTTCTCTTAATTTTTGAAAATCACAATAATGATAAATATCGTTCGTAAAAGCTGTGTTCATGATTTTCCATCAATAACAACCATCGTTCCTCTACTCAAAAGCTGAATGTTACGTATTATATAACCGTACTTATAAACATTAATAATAAGTATAATTACGCTCGTTTATTGAATTGCTGTTTTTTCCTAAACAAAAGTTAATACTTATTATCAAGAAAGTATCGCTTGTACTACCTTACTGATAAATTAGGGAATTACACAAACCTAACTTATGACTGTAACCGATATGGTTATTATCTGCGCCACTAAAAACTATTTATAAAAATAAAAAAATTAATTTATATATAAAGAAGTAGGACAGTTAAAGAAATTCTTTCTAATAGGCCAAAATTATATTATTGGTCGACATGTCAGTAAAACTGGCGAAAAAAGAATTTTGACCGCTAACCGACCCTACTTATATATGCATGCATAAAAAACCACACTATACATGTTCATCTGGATTAGGTTCAATGCTATTTTATTTATTCATTTTTTTGGTTAATTTCAGATGCAACACCAAACAAAATACATTTCGAAAGAACATTAGCAAATATAGGCTAATTTTACTTTTATTAGCTGTAAAAAAAAAAAAAAAATCACTTATATGATGAAATTACTCCTTTATGAAAAATTTACAATGCGAAGCGCCATTCTGGACTTTACTATATTTCAGTCATAGTCATCATTGTATTTTCGAAATAGAGACATGGGAATTCTCTTTTATAATTCGTACTTTTTTAAATTCGATTCATAAAAAACGTTTTTTTTTTGATATTTACTTTTAGGATTTTGCTATTAAATTCGTGACTTGAAATTAAGATTTAATAAATGAATCATGAATATGTCGTACCATAACTGAATTTTTAACGATTCTTGAAATTTCATTAATAAATTCAAATATTCCAATAAACTTGATTGTATAAAATAAATAATTCAAGTGAAAAAAAAGTTGTAATACATATATAAATAATATTTTGATTGAAATCAAGATATTATTTCAATTTACGATCGCGTATAAGAATGTGTTATTGGCATAACTGACTTCCACCAAATGTTGGACCGTAATTTGAATGAATATCAGTACACCACCATCCTTAATATAACCTACTTTTGCAGTTTGAAGGTTTTGTTCTATTATGAATAATCATATAAACTATCCTTAGTTGACTTTTAAAGCATCACGTTGATCACAATAAATTGGGTTATATCCTCCCACTATTTGTTCGAAATTTTAACTTTTACTATAACTATAGTTATCACATCTTTTGATGAAATGCTGCAGCTATGTCGCCATCCCTACTGGCACGATAAAGTAAATCAAACTTATAAGGAATCCTCTTTCTATTGTAATGTAAATATTCTTTCTTATCGATCCAACCGGAAAATGTTGAGATTTAATTACTGAGTCATAAACATTTTTTGACTTTATGGGGGATCGTATCTCGATATCTAATTTCTTAAGATAATTTAAAAATTTGAGGAGAATATTTGGTATTTTTAAAATGAACATTCCATCCCTTTTTTTTTTGGTTAGTTCGTTAAGAAGATATTGCGACCTGATACGTAAAATATTTGAAAGAGCATGAAAATCTTTAGCGTGTTTATTTTCACCGGCATATATGACATCATATCCTTCGTCAATTTCGAGGAACCTATCATAATCATCAGCAGTTTCTTGCCAATATTCTAAGAACATCTTTTCTTTTTAATAGTAATAAAGTGAAAAGGCAACTGAATTAGCTGATGGTCTAAGAAAAAATCCTTGTGGCAATTTCGTTGCCCTTCTTTATCTCATTCTAAATCTTCTGCCTCAGCATTATCCTTACAGCAAGTCGCATCCTTTCTCAAACAAATAAGTGCTACTAGGGCCTGTTTGTTTTATCATAGGCATAATTGTCTGTTTAACTGCTCCTTTCAAATCATCGCATTTGCTATCATATCTGTCACTTTTTACTATAGGTCCTAAACAGGCCTGTGCTGCTTTTCTAACTTGATCTTTTATGCAAATAAAATTGGTTGAACCATTGGTGACAAATCTGGTAACTCATTCTTTTACAACTTCCTTAGATAATTCAGAAGGCCAATTAAATAGATCTTTTCTTAATAAAGGATTATCTATTGCTTTTTATTTAATACGTGAATAATAATTGTAATTTAATTATAAATGACGACCATACAACTCACCAAAGAGCAATAAGAAATAAAGTAAAGAAATAAGTTACGTAATATATTGCAGTGAGCAGGTAAGGAGCAGCTCGCTCATGAGCGTTGTTTGATTGATCTGTAAGGGAAGGTACAGTTCTTACACCAGAAAAAGCAGACCCATACCAAAGAAAAACCATTCTAATGATTGGCACTATCTACCAGTTTCCTGAGCATCATGCTCTTAAAGCACAATGCTGTTAGCTGTAATTAAATCAAAGTACTTCACGTCAAACTACAACCGCATGATTTCCCTCGTTGCCTGGTCTACTGGAAGAAAAATAATGAAAAAATAAAAAAAGATACAATTCAAATTACGATTATAACAAATATACTGTCCTTGTCCTTTCTTATTAATAATATAAAGAATAATAGGCGTTAATAAGCTCGTCACTAAACATATATTTTTTTTAGCTTTTTTCATGTGTTGTCGTTTATAGTGAGAAAAAAAGAAGCTAAAAATCTTTTGGAGCGCATATTATAATGGGCAAGTTCATATGCACTTTCAACTGTTCTATAGTAAAAAAACGACGTGTTAGTAGAAAACGGACATTCTTTGATTTTATTTTTTTGAAAATACACGTCGTGATCGTTAAATACATATTATTGTTCTTAAGAATGAAGTATTCATGATATAGTAAAACATTTAAATTTAATAAGCTATTCTATGTAATGCCTAAAATATAATTTTAAAGAAAAAAAAATTTTTTTTTTTTTTTATTTTTATTTAATTTTAAATTAATATAAATCTCAACTGATTTTTAAATATATCACATGATATTGTACAGGTGACAAATAATTTTTGCTCACCTGATTGATCAAAGCCTAGTTAAATAAGGTAAAAAACTAAAAGTGGTGAGATATGATACAGGTGACGAATAATTTACCATGGTCACGTGATTAACTCCGCTTTAGACATCCAAATATAGTTAGACGTTTCTGTCATTTTTGTCTTAACAAATCCTTTTTTTACAACAAAAATTTTCTATGATTTAGAGGCAAATCTTTCGAAAGATTTGCTTAGACGATGAAAATTTTCTATCTGAACCTATTGAAAAATAATGTGGTCACATAAAATATAAGAGTAATTAATCATTTTTATTTTACCAACCGCTTCATTTGAATGTTGCTTTCGACATCTATTTGAACTCTTTTACTGTACCTAAAAAACCATAGTGAAATTTTAACACAATCAACATCGTTGACGTCATTTCCAAAATTTTCATAGGAAAATATTTCGTATACAGAACAAGAGGACGTCCAAATGAAGGCTCAACGAATTCAATTAACGAAGAGAATTCTGCTCTCCAATTGATAATACCATCACTCAGAAGGTTAATCCGACCAAAAATACTATTTCAATGATACTGTGCAATCCTACATTCAATCGTCGAGATCGAAGACGTCTCTGCAGAGTAATTAAGGCGTAACAAATCGAACAATGTACTTTTTCTCATTGCGGATATCATTGCAATACGGATATTCTATTTATTCCTATTTTGTCCTTGATGGATTTACCTTCAGTTTGGAATAGTATAGTATTCAATTCTTCTCTGAGCAAGATAACTAGCAGTCAAAAAAAAAAAGCAGAATTAAACACAAATGAATTTGGAGTGGCTCATTAACACACTACACTTATTTTAAGAGAAAGGTAGCAGCGAATCAAGTACATGGTTTAAAGCATTTTCAAAAATGAAAAATTGATTGTCAACGGCATTCAAAAAACTCAAAAATGATGAAATGATCGGATCTGTGTTATAATAATTTACAGTTAGGTATTAGCAACGTTGTATAATTTGCTAATATTTATTGACCATGGAATTAATTATTAAAGTTTAAAATGGATTATCTTATAAGGAACAAAAAATCGAATCTCAATCCCTATACCGAAGTTCCTTAAACAAATGGTAGAACAAAAGAGAAATATTTTTAGTCCAGTTACGTTTATAGGTTTATTTTTTCAAGTTATCATTCGAAAAGACAGCGAAAGATTTGTTACTTGATCCATTATTATTGCAAGGAAACGAACCGACTGATATAATAGAATCAATTTTTAGCAGGCAGCGTAGTTTTTCGATAAGCACACGTGATCTACCAATAAGTATTGAACGCTTCGGACGCTCCAACGGTTCCCATTATCTAGTTATAATGAATTCCGAATATTCTCATTTTTAAATCAAAAATCGTCTCCGAAGCTTCTCAAAAAAAAAAATCTTACGTATCATGAAAACATGAAAGAAATTGTAAAAAATTAAAAAGAACCTTTTATGGAACCTACCGAAGAAGGAGCTTAAATAAAAGAAAAGAGCCAATTAAGAAACTTTCGTTGAGCCTGAATGAACACCTGCCTTATTTTTATTTTTAAGCAAATTGTTAAAATAATTTCGAAAATAAAATCTCAAACTTTTTTTTTATTGTGTAAGCAAAAAAATTTGGCATAAACCTTTTTTAGCAACTAAACTAGAATATTTTTTTTTAATATATACATTTATCTTATAAAAGAATAATTAATCTATTCAAAGATTTGCTTTTGAATTGATTTAAATATATTCAATAAAATAATAAACCTTTTACCAAGCAAAAATTGACAGCTTCGTTAAATATAATAATGTTAACAACTATATAATTCTTTCGGAATTTTCTTTGCTTGAACAATTATTGTTCGAATTCAATGCATGGAATCCGCGCATGTACAATCGCGTCACAAAGTGACGCCCGATTTAAATTTCATAGTAATTTACATATAAAATTTATTTTCTGGACCTTACAATTAAAATGGTTCTTGCATTTTAAGCTCCCCAAAGTAAATATTATTTTTTTTAAAATTATGACTAATTAGCTGTAAAATTATGCAAAATTTAGAAACAAATATTAAAAGAAATATGAATTTGAAATTGTCCATTTTTGTATGTATGAATTTTTTTTTTGGATCCTAAACATATAGAAAACATATAGAAAAAGTCTTTTGTACATTACAATTAAAATAGTTTATACATTTAAAATTTTCCATAAATTAAAACCTTTTAAAGTAATTACAATTATATATATAGCTTGAAATTTTCTATTCTTTATATGTTTTATTATACAATTTGGATCGGGCGTCACTTTATGACGCGACTGTACCATTAGATATCCATTCTAAATGCTTAAATCGGTTCCTTAATTTTTAAACGGTATTTTCTTATAATCACAGCTCATGAAATTGTTAGAAGTTAATCCACTTCTACTCCCTCGTAATATCAAAAGACAAGTATAACTTTTTTCTAACAGAAAATTTTCTTTCGCGTGGGCGTGTTACGTCATCAATCATTTGGAAGTTAAATTACTGTTACCACTTAATAAAATGAATCCTCCATCATTGTGAAATGTAAATGTCTTGAAACGTAAAATTCTTTCTTACTAAATAATGGAATTAATAAATTCAACATAAAAATTGTAAAATCACATGTAATATTTTTTTAAAATAATATAATCATTATTATAAAAAAATCTGCAACAGAAGGAATACTAAATAAGTTTTAGTAGTTAAGAATAAATATTAGAAATAATTTTTGAAAATATAGACAATAATTTTGAGTGATATTGAATACTTGCTGACATCTTGCCTCAGAGGTTATGAACAAGGGCATTATCTCTTACTCTCATGATTGAATAAATTAAGCATATAGTATTGATAAGCCACTATCACCTAAATCACAAAGTTGATAACTAATATAGATCCAACTTGGGTATCCTTATCCAGAATGTCATAATCTGTATATTATCTATACAGTCGACTCTGGATATAATGAACTGGCTGTTTCAGAAGATTTAGTTCAATATAAAGTGAGTTTGTAATATAATAATCATGTTTTATACCAAACTGTTCAGTATATAAAATTGACCAATAAAAATATAGACATATGATCACTTCATAATAATAAAATTTATTAATTTATTATATTAAAAGTTAGTATTGCTGTGCAAGACTAACATTAGTTTTTAAAAAGAATTTTATATAAAAATATTATCACGTTGGCAAATAATTTATAGTGTAACATTTTTTAATTATATAATCTTATATGATTAAATTTTAAATCACATAATAATTCAATTTATCAAATATATAGATTAATATACATGTTCAGTTAAAATTAATTCAGATATAATATATAATGTTTTATTATATGAACTCATTTGATCAATTATAAAAAAATAGGTTTGTAATATATAGTCTAGTATAATAAGATTTTATATAAACAGATTCATTGTATTTAGAGTCAACTGTACTATAAATTATTGGGATTGTTAAGTAGTAATTTTTTCACATAATATGTAATTCACCTTAATTAAGAAACTTATTATCATAATAGGTATCAATATATTATACATTATAGGATTCATACCTAAGAATATCTGGTTAAAAAATCTTAAGTACTATTTACAATAACAAATATTTATAAAAAGTTACAATCTTTATTCTATCAAATTCTGAATTTCTTTTTTCTTCTTTACTTTAATTTATTTATTATCTATTTTTATTGTATTATTATTTTTTATTCTAAATATTTCTAACTTATTATAAGTTTTTTCAGATCTCATAGTTAAATATATTTCTTTTTTCTTACCTTATTTTTAATAATTATTTCTTTATTCTTTCATATTTTATATATTTTATATAATAATTCATTTTTTTATTCTGCGATCTTATATATATTTATATTTTTACTTTATTATTTCCATTAATTTTCTTTTAGAAATATAGATTATACAAGTATTCTATAGTCTCATTTCATTAGTTTCTTTTATCTGAGCTTTTGTATAATTTTTATACATATTTGTAAATTGTCTTAATCTTTCTTCTTATCCCAAAAGTTTCTTTATTATTTTTTATTTTATGTTTTCAATAATTTATTCTTTTATGTCTAGTAATTTATTTATATTTTATGTTCAAGATTTAACATTAACTCAAATTTTATTTTTTCTAACCATTTCCCCTTTTCTATTGTAAAGGTTCCAATTATTTATTTATATAACCTTCTATTTTATTAGTTATTTTCTAATTTCTTAATGTTAATTAATTTAATAATGCAAATTATATTTACTATTATTTTATAAAAGATAAAAAAAAGTAATATTAAAACACAAAAATAAATATTAT